TCCGTTTGTCAATATGCCTATGGGAATGAAGAGTGATTTTGTAATGAAAACGCAGAGGCAGCAGTTCGGGAATACAGAAATCGCTTTCCTAGGAGAAGGGTACCTAATCGAGTACCTAATGCACGAGTCTTTATATCAATACTCACTCACGTTTCCGTCAGTTTGGGTTACGTGGCAATAATGAACAATACCGAAATAATGGCACACTGAGAAGAAATGATAACAATCACATTCTTAGATTTTTTGATGTTAACCAACAAATCAGTTCTAGAAAAGCAGCTCAACAGTTGCAGGTAATTTATAAACTAATAGCATGTCATGCTTTTAGTAATTTTGGTTCTCTTCTTTAGTTTAATACTAGTTATCAGTTCATACTATTGCAAGCATAAATAAAAGTAATAGTTCCGGCTTTTTTTCAAGTCTAAAAATCGAAAATTTTATGAACACTACATTTAGATCACAGGAAGCCTTTTCATTTGATGCCGGTATACAACAATCACATCCTGAAGATCCTGGGAAGAGAGTGTCTTTTTCGGAATTTATCTTAAATAAAGTTGACAACAATAACGACTTTTTACATAAAGTCTTATGGACTTGAATTAACACCCTATAACTCGGAAACGAAGCGTTTAAAAGTATATGTTCATAGGAAGTTTATTTATTATTTCAACGAGTACTGTACGCTGTTAAATTTTCCGTATTTAAAAAACGGACCACCCTGTATATGCGATAGATTCATGTTATTGAACCCTGTAAGTTGTATGATGGACAGGTACATTGACTCTATTGAATAGGACTATTTAGCTATTCTGGCAGTTCTACAGGAAGTGTTGAAATTCCAATATTGTAGAATAAGTTCAATACACCAGTATGTTATAAGCCATTTAACGATTACGTTGTTTTCTGAATATACTCAGTAATCTATAAAGTTGTTTGGTTTCATATTCATTTCAACCCCTAGTATAGAACAGCATTTATTATGAATGAGTGATTCATTCTGAAAAGTACAGCCATAATTATTTTATGCCGATCTGACATTAAAAAGGGTACTATAAATCCAAATAATTATGAGGGAGAAGAGATCATGGAGCAAAAATGCATTCAAAGAATACTCCAGGAGTTCCATGATCTATTTGATGAACAATTAGGCACCATCAAGGGACATCAAGCAAGAATTCATATCAATGATGATGTTATTCCGAAGAGATTTCGCCCAAGAAGTGTACCTTTGGCATTACAAGACCAGGTGTCTGCAGAACTCGATAGATTGGTACGTGAAGGGGTTTTAGAACCTGTGGATACAACTAATACACCGATTTCATGGTCCTCACCTATTGTAGTTGCAACGAAATCCAATGGCAAGCTAAGGATTTGTGCCGATTTCAAAGTCACCATAAATTAACACGTCCAAATTGATGATTACCCATTACCTCGTTTCGAAGATATCACAGCAAAACTATCTGGGGGAAGATATTTCTCAAAAATTGATCTCAAAGATGCCTATCTTCAACTGGAAGTTCATCCTGATTCTAGAAAATACCTAGTTATTGCAACTCACAAAGGTTATTTCACCTACAAACGTTTGCCGTTTGGTATCAGTTTCGCTCCAGCATTATTCCAACGTACCATGGATCAAATTCTTTCAGGTTTAGAAGGCGTCGTTTGTTACCTTGACGATATTTTGATCACAGCCTCAAACTTAGTATTACATTCACACCGTCTGAAAGAAGTTTTACGTCGTCTACAGAAGTCTGGAATGAAGACTCAGAAATCTAAATGTGATTTGCTCAGAAGCAGTGTTACCTATTTAGGCCATAAAATTGATGAAACAGGATTGCATCCAACTGAAGAAAGAATTGAAGCCATAAAGCAGATGCAAATGCCAAGTAATACAACTCAACTCCGTTCTTTTCTGGGAATCATCACCTACTATGGTAGGTTCATCGAAAACCTTCACGTGAAGTGCGTACCATTACATCGACATTTGAAGAAAAATGCAAAGTGGGATTGGTCGAAGGAAGATAGCGAAATACTCAACACCTTGAAGAAAAATCTAACTTCAAATGACACCCTGATAATTATGATCCTGAAAAGCCTTTGGTGGTTTCGAGCGACGCTAGTAATGTTGGCACAGGGGCAGTTTTATCCCACAGTTTTTCCGATGGTATCTTGAAACCGATTGCTTTCGCTTCTCGCTCGTTCAGTGATGTAGAAAAACGCTATTCTACTATTGACAAAGAAGCATTAGGCCTAGTTTACGCCGTTACAAAGTTCCATCAATATTTGTACGGCAGAAGGTTCACACTCATCACTGATCATAAACCTTTAGAGCGTATTTTTGGAGAAGATCGCCAAACTCCTAAAATCGCAAGCAATAGACTTCTACGATGGGCTATGACTCTAAATAGCTATAATTTCAATGTGACATATTATCGTCCTGGCAGTGAAAATTGTCCTGCTGATTCATTATCTAGGCTGCCACTACAAAGATCCACAGAGCAAATGGAAATACCAAGTCATGACCGGTTATTACATTTGAGGGTACGTAAACTGTCTGTGAGAACACAATTATTGAGAACAGAAACAGTCAAGGACAAAACTCTCTATAAAGTCATCCAATGTATCCAGTCATATTGGCCTGAGAGGAAAGATCTAGAAGTAGATCTCCAACCTTTCTATGACAAGCGAACAGAACTTTCTTTCGAAGAAGATATTCTATTGTGGAAAGGACGTATCTGTATTCCAGCCGCTTTGCAAAAGGAAGTACTAGCAATGTTGCACGATGGTCATCCTGGTACAACAGCTATGCAGTCGCTGGCAAAACTGCATGTATATTGGCCGAATATCAATAGGGATATAGCACTCGAAATGGAAAAATGTAGCTCCTGCCAACAAGCGAGGAAAAATGACCGAAATGCACCACTTTATCCATGGGGTATATCACCTGATCCTTGGTCTCGCCTCCATCTAGATTTTGCTGGACCTTCCGAAGGAAAAATGTGGATGATCCTCATCGATTCTCACACTCATTGGCTTGAAATTGTGCCTATGAATAATATCACGTCGATCAGCACGATAGATGCGCTTCGTGCAATTTTTGCTCGTTTTGGATTACCAAGGTTCCTGGTGACCGACAATGGCCCTCAATTGACTTCCAAGGAGTTTGAGTTATTCTGTAGTGAAAACGGAATAACTCACATCAAAACTACGCCGTATCATCCAAAATCGAATGGCCTCGCCGAGCGTACAGTGCGGACATTCAAGGAAAGAATGCGCGCCAGCGACCAAGCTCTAGAACAATCACTCAGACTCCAAAATTTTCTGTTCTCCTATAGAAATACCGTAAGGAGATCAACCAATAGGACGCCTAGCCAGCTCATGTTTGGACGCCACCTGAGGTCACGTTTTGATCTGATGAAACCAGATGTGGTGAAAAATATGGAGCTTGAACAAATGACACAGAAGCGAAACCACGACCGTACAGCAGCTCCACAACAATACTTCAAAGAAGGAGAGGCAGTATGGGTGAATAACCCGCTGGAAAAAGGCTCCGTTCCTGGACAAATTGTCAAGCAAACAGGACCTATGTCATTTCTGGTGAATATCGATGGAATTTCACGCCGTAAACATTGTGATCAGATGCGAAAACGGGTGCAAGACGTTTCCGCTAGCAGAGGAAATGATCGAAATGAAACTGAACATTCAAATGACTTGACATCAGTTTCGGATGTTACAACACCTATGAAGGATGAAATCGTGGATATTTCTCAACATTCAATTGGGAGATCGGTAGGCACTTATGATGATGAAGACACCGGTGCATTACAAAAAGATGTAGAAATACCTCATGAACAAAGAAGCTATCCTACACCAAGAAGGAACCCTACACGGAATAGGAAGCCTCCAACGCGCTACATGGATTGCATTTTTATTATGTGGGGAAGGAATGTAGTAATATGACCCTGTATCTTCAAGGGATGATAGATGATCGTCAGTCACTCAGTCAGTTTGAAGCAGTCGTACAAAACAGACGTCAGTCGACTCGCGATACATACACGTACAAGCAGAATACGATTCAGACAAGCCTCGTTACATACATACATCCATTTCAAGTACATTCATACCTCAACATTCATTGTGATTAGTGTTTATTGTTTTCATTAAAGTGTTTTCCATTTGGACCCATTTCCTGACAGTAAACGTCATCATTCCGTCATTCGGTTGCCCCATTACGAGCAACCCTCAGAAGTCTTCGAGGGACTTGTGCGAGCAAGGAATGACGGGGGCCTTACCTTTCAACGTGTGATCCCAAACACTTTCTTGGGCCATCAGAAAAATTTCTGCAGCCGATGGGAATCGAACCCACGACCGGCAAGCGAATGCGGATTAGAATATTGACACTCTGTCCGCACGGCTACCTGGCCCCCATATCCATGGTTACATTGTTGAAAACATCATCAACGCTGATAGCCCAATCAGAATTGATAGACAGCTAATATTTTCGCGATGAGCACACGTTTTCTATGGCTTGTGATTGGTCAGGTGAAATAGTCACAACAAGCAGAACATTTCTAGAAAAACATCACAATACATTTTTGACCAAACTGTAGATCAGTTGAGCAAAGAAATTCGCATAAATTTTTTGGAGTGGAGTTTTTTCTCTTTATTATCAAATTACCTCCAATTTGAGCATGAACTACTACCAGAAATCGGCCAGATCTTTAATCAGAATTAGCAATGTTGCAATATACACTAGTATACATATATACTATTTTATATATGATTTTCAGAGTATTATTACTTTGGACCTCTGAAATTTGTATTGAAATCATAGATACAATTGTAGATAAATTATAATATTCTACTCGCGCATATTGGCAATTACCCACTCAGATGATTAGAGCACTAACCCTCAGCTCGTACTTCAATTTTCATCTTCGTGAGTAATAGCCATATTCTCGTTGAATAATATTATAGTACATATATATATATCGATCATTTTTAACATAGGTAATGACAATTGTTTTGTAACGATCAGTAGAGGCGCTTCAAAAAATTTCCCAGCGTTCCAGGATTGTTGCAATCCGGAGTTATTTGGCCATTACTGACCAGGCAAGCTTCACCACATGCTCTTCCTTGAAAATATGGGCCGAACATCTGCTTACACTGCACACAGTTACTGAAAAATATAAAAAGAAAAATTTAATTCGTGAAAAATCAATTTGAAAATATGGGAAGTGAGAAAAAAATGATATTGCGTCTATACAACAATAACAACACCAACATAAAGTACGTTACCGGGTACAGCAACAGGTGGGACTAAATCTAACCCCCCTTCACAAGACTCCCCTAAAATGTCAGCCGGTCACTATATCTCGACTTGGACCGACCGCCATCCAGAGAGAAATGGTAATAATGGATACGCCAAATTAGCGCGCTTGAGCCATCTCCGTTATGTAACGGCATGTTCTCCTGCTACCATTTTATTATACCAATGGTCAGGCCGTCTAATACAACATGCATACAACATATGCTCTGCACTGTCAGTACCTGAGCAGGAACGCTTCTCAACCGCCGAGGTACGCAAGATATCCTCCCACTTGACCCATGGTGGGATTCTTCTTTACCTCCTCTACCGTAGTCCGGTGGTATTTTTTGGAAAACTCTGCTTTCTGGAGGCCAACCCAATTGGTGAGGCATCAGAGCGTATGTACGACCTGATGGGACTATCCTCATCACCCCAGGTACCCATGTCAACAAGATCCCTCTTGTTAGGTTTGATGGGTCTCCGTCGCAAGAGGCTTTGGCCTGATTGCTACTCAAGAATTGACAAGAATCCTCTCGGAATGTCTATTTCCGCAAGATATTTATACAAGTAGTTTCATTAGAATTTTGTAATGACATAAAAATTTCAGCAGACTGATGGGTAATTATGTAAAATTCCAGTTGAAATGGACATTCACGAGTTTCAAAATTCATGATCTCACTATTTTTATTACTCACCCGTCTACAGGATATTTTCTCATCAAACTATGAGCTAAGAATATTTGTCACCTTGGTAATTTCAAAGTATTTTATTAACAACATTGACACAAATAAAAGTTATCTAACCAATGATTCAAACTGAAAGCTCAATATTTTCAAGAACCATTGTCATAATTTTCACAGGGACTAGTATCGCTAACCCGCATCCTCGAAAAACTCCTCCTGAACTCTCTGCCTATGTACTCCACAGCTTCGTCCCTTTCCGGGTCATCTCTTTTACCCAGAATCGGCCTGGGAAAAGGCAGCTTGTTGCCCAAAATCGGCCTCGGACTGTTTGGTGAAAGGCTAAATGATCTTATGGATTTCCTGGAATACCTCGAGCACTGTGCCTCCTCTTCCTTGGAGCCAGAGTTGGATTTTTGGGGAGGAGAAGATTTCGGGGTTACATTACGTAGGGGAGGCGGAATGTAAACTGGTGCTTCTGGAGACAGTTCTGATTTCATAGGGGTTCGGGAGCTTTTTGCTTGGGAAATTTCCGCTAACTGCTGCCTCCGGTCGATGATGTTTGAATATGACGTTTTTGATTTTCAGCAGGTCACTCGTTGGCAATGGAAAATCTACTGGGTAACCGTTTGAATAGTATGACAGGTGATAATTTGCACAATATTTTGGGGATATAACTCGATCAAACTCAAAAACTCATTGAGAAAGGCTGTACGACCGTTTATGGATTTCCTGGAATGACTTAAGCACTGTCCTGGCTATACTTTTCGATACGGTGCTTTGGATTTTTGAGGAAGAGCAGACGATTTCGGGATGTTATTACGAAAGACGAGAGATATGTAAACTGGTGCTCCAGAAAACAGTCCTGATTTGCGAGGTTCTTGCCCTTTTTTTGATTTTTAGCAGATCACTCGTTGGCAATGGAAATATCTATAGGGTGACTGTTTTAAAATTATGACAGGCGATATTGTGCACAAGATCTTATAGGAATACAACTCAATCAAGTAGTATGAATCCCATTGAGAATGGCTCAACGGGCGAATATGGATTTTCTAGAAAACCTCGACCACTGTGCTTTCACTTTCTTAGAGCCAGAGTTGGATTTTTGAGGGGGAGACAATTTTGAGGTATCATTACGTAGGGGAGTCGGGATGTAGGCTAGTGCTTCTGGAGAGAGATCTGATTTCATAGGGGTTTGGAAGAATTTTGAAGGAGAAATCTCCGCTTACTGCTGCCTCCAGTCGATGATGTTTTAAGGCCCCTTTTTTGGTTTTGAGCAAGTCACTCGTTGGCAATGGAAAATCTACTGGGTAACCGTTTAAGTAGTATGACTGGTGATGATGTGCACAAGATTTTGGGAATATAACTCGATCAAACTAAACAACTCAATGAGCAAGGCTGTACTTTTGGATACTATGCTTTGGATTTTTGAGGGAAAACAGACAATTTCGGGATTATATTATTGCGATAGGAGAAAGATAGGTAAACTGGTGCTTCTGGAAGCAGTCCTGATTTGCGGGGTTTTTGCTAGGAAACTTTTCGCTGCCCCCAATGGAGATGTTTGAATGCCCCTTTTTTATTTTGAGCAGATCACTCGTTGGCAAGGTGACTGTTTGACAATTATGACAGGCGATATTGTGCATAAGATCATATAGGAATACAACTCGATCAAGTAGTAGAAAACCCATTGAGGATGGCTGAGCGACCGATTATGGATTTTCTAGAATACCTCGAGCACTGTGCCTCCACGTACTTGGAGCCAGAGTTGAAATTTTGAGAAGGAGACGATTTCGGGGTATCATATTACGTAAGGGAGCGGGATGTAGACTAGTCATTCTGATTTCATGGGGGTTTTGAAGGATTTTAAAGGAGAAATTTTAGCTAATTGCTGCCTCCAGTCGATTATGTTTGAAGATGTCGTTTTAGCAGGTCACTCGTTGGCAATGGCAAAAACTACAGGGTAACAGTTAAAATATTATGACAGGTGATAGTGTGCACAAGATTTTGGATATACAACTCAGTCAAACTAGAAAACTCATTGAGAAAGGCTGTACGACCATATATGGATTTCCTGGAATGCCTCGAGCAATCTGGAAAATAATTGGGATTCTTGAGGGAGAGCAGACGATTCCGGGATTATATTGCGAATGGAGGAAGGAACATGTTTTTTACAACACGTAATTTGATACCTACTTGAATGGAAACTATATATATGATTTTATGTTCACTAGGATCAGTATTTCTAATAAAAAAACATATGTCTCAGAAGGTAACAATAAAATTTCCTCTTTTCTTGCTATCCTGAGCCAATACCTCCCAATGCCCCCTCCCCACAAACATCGCCTGGATCCGCTCCTGCCGCATTGAGATTTTTGAGCAAGCAGCTAGATGATTTCGAAGATATATTAAAGGAAGAAGGATGAAAACTGGTGCTTCTTGAGGCACTTCTGATAAGGAGTTTGGGAAATGGGAAATGAAATGGAGGTGAAATGACACTTTCTGTCGACAGACGATCAACTAAGGTTCTATACGACCATGTTGAAAACTTAGGGATAACATATTAGCAATTATTTGCCATCAAAAAACATTTCAACGGAAAATATCTCGTACGCTGATTATTACACAATGATCAATATTCAAATTAGAAAAAAAAAAAATGTTGAGATGAAACACCAGTTATTCTTTCGATTTTGGCAGATTACATATTTTTCTCATATATTAAGTACTTACGTTATGCATACTGTCAGTGTAGAATCAGCAATGATCTCTCCACTCATTATCAAGATGATGGTGAATAAAAATCCAGTGGGAATCTTCTAAAAAGAAAACCAAATAAACTTGAAGAACATCAACATTTCGGTCGTTTATTCATGGCTGCCAAGTGAATCACCGGTGATTCAGTGATATTCATTAGGTATAGCGTCATAAAATATTAGAATGCTATGGGTGCCTGGACATTTTAGGGGGTGAAGGACAAGGAAGCCGACACGGTCGAACCGAATCTGTGCTCATAGGACCAGAACCATATTTCGTGGTCTCCGCAAGTGCGGCCAAAACATCTATCTCGGACCTGGCGGAGGGGAAAAGACTCACGCACTGGTCTGAATTACCAGGACGAAGCGTTCCTGCCTGAACCAACGAGAGAAAAGACCAGACATCTAGAATGAAGTAGGGATAACCTGCGAATCCTGACAGGATTGTTCACGGGACACTGTCGTCTAAGACACCACCTAGAAAGGATCGGTCTGAACCAACTAGTGGACTGTCGGTTCTTCTGTGTGGAAGACAAACGGCTGAACACATACTACGTTCATGCTCCTGCTTAGAGAGACTAAGGATCGACATATTTGGCTTTACCAATTCAGAACCTATCGATTTTATACAAATTTCACCTCACTCAACCATGGACTTTGTAAGAAAAAGTTAGGTTAGGTTTAAACGTGAGTGAGCCCATGTCCGGCTCTATGGTTATATTTCTCCCAGTATATATCTGATATCTTGGAGAAATTAAGGAGTACGTTGGGAGAACAATTTATCAAGTTTTCTGGCCCAACTGTTGTATTGCCAAATGTTGGAAATCTGATTCTGGCCGCTGCAGGGCATCTATATAAAATGTGTTTAGCTGTTTCATCCTCCTCCATGCATGGACGTACTCTGCATCTTGTGCAAGTCCGATTTTGTGCATGTGGTGTTTGAGTTTGCAGTGGCCAGTGAGCAAACCTACTATAACTCTAACTCAGAGTTCTAGTAGTTTGTCAGAGTCCTGTTTGTTCCTTGTACAAGCAATGATATGCTTTGGAATGGGCTAGGCCCGGTAGACTTCGCCAATACTCGAGTCTTTTGTTGTCGGCCCAGGATGTTAAAACATTCTTGGCAGTGCTACATAATTATGCTATACCGATTACCGGTTCTGGCCCAGTGAAGGATCTTTCGGACCCCCTTTTGCTAGGACGTCCGCTGTTTCGTTCCCTTCTAGGCCCGTGTGACCTGGTATCCAGACTAGGTTAACGTTATTTCGTTGTGCCATTGTCATTCTAGATGACAACCTAGTTAGGTAGTTAGTAGGCAGGAGCTGTACCTCCTCGAACTAGAGGTCGCCTACTTGGTTTTCATTTAGATCGACAATGGTTGTGCTAGTCAAAAAGATGCGGATTGTAAAGTGTATTATATACCCATCTGGGGCCGCACCGCAGTGGAGGGGCGGCATTTGCCCCACTCACATGGAACCTAACCCAACTTGGTGCAATATACTACCGTCTCTCTAGATGTAACTATTTCCATATACCATACGAGTATACTTGGTGCATGATACTGCCGTTTCTTTGGATATAACTATTCATACGAGTACACACAAAGTGTGCTAGACACTGCCCTGTCTCTAGATATAAAAAGTATTGTAAAATGTTATTCAGAGGAATAATATCGTACATTTGAAACTTTGTTGACTAAACTTTTGAAATTTTGGTGGCGGAACATCATTCACTATTTATTCGAGAAAAACAATCGCTCATCCTGAAATCCCTAGATTATATAAAATAAACGTGTCTGGCGTACGACATGTGCAAGTGCCTTTCAGAAATTCTACGCCACTGGTAAATTTGCCATTCTATTCTCCAATACTTCCTACGTATATATATATTATCGAACTATTTCTTCATAGTGGTAAAGTCATTATTTTCTGGATATTTCAAGTTAAACATGAAGCTGCACAATTCTTTTCATTTTGATATGTACAAATGAAACTTCATTCCATATTAACTTGAAAGCTCAACATAATAATTTTTAGACTTTTGAATATGCTAAATTATAAAACACCCTGTGACAGACAGGAGACACATTTTACCTAGGTGATTTGGGTTAAATCTCCATATATTGAGCTCAAGTTATATGTGATCGAAAAAAGTGAATTTTTAGCAAATTCTATTTTTTTCTACGTTATTATCAGAGATACAGGAAAACTGAACATTTCCCTACAGGACGATTCTTATTCGTAGAACCATCATCAACTTTTTTTATCAAATACTTGCCTGATTATGTGTCCAGAGTTTTCTACATACGTCAAAAATCATTGTTTTAATATACACACAGTATCGTATTTCGCACACCGAAAAAAGGGTCACTTCACATATTGTTATCAATGCGCGAACGTTGTCATTATTTGACGTTTGTAGAGAATAGTTATTATTATTTATTATTACTTTTTCGCGCACTGCATGTAAACTATATGAGATTTTTGTATTTCAACCTTTATAATCCTCAATCAAGTAAAAATACGAGAAATCATTTCTAAATGTTTAACAATAATAAAGGCATTTTGAGCAGTTCTACGCTATTTTTCATATTAAGCTAAGCATATTACTCATTTCAGAATAATATTTTTTCTGCAAACGTCAAAAAATGACAAGGTTCGCGCATTGATAACAAATTGCGAAGTGACACTTTTTTTTCAGTTTCCTACGTTACCATGATATCTTGCACAAAACAATGCGCGATGTAAAAC